TTAATACCGTCCCGTTTTAGTCGGACAGCGCATAAACGACTGTCTATCGGATCCAGTCTAGGAGAGCTTGTTCTACCCTAGGACTAATACTATACCTACGCCGGCAACGCGACGAAAAGTGGCATCAGGACTTCCAGAAACATCAAGCGTAAACCTTGTTGCGTCTCTATCTGCACTAGGTCAGATCAAATCGATGATTTTACTCGGATCTTGTATGCGCGTTTTGGAGATGCAACATATATCGATCGCCCGGGATTTCAGAGTTCCAGCTAGTGAAGCCTGTTGCCCTACTTGGCATAGGTTCATAACATTAAAAGGCTCCCATAAGTAATTTAGTACGGGGTTTCAAGAGACAAGGAATAATGTTTCGAGAGCTCATACCGTTCGCTTCAGTGGCGTGAGGTGGTAACGATCGAAAGAAAGGGTTAGTCGAGGAGATAAGAGTGTTATTAAGAGGTGGTAGAAAGGATTTAGTTGGTCTCGTGGGCTTTTATGGGTATGAGGCGGTTGTCACTTCCCGGCTGTCCCACATGGAAGGTTTTTTCTTGAAGAACTTGAAAAGGAAGGTGGATTAGCGTTGGACTTAACGACCTGGAGGCGTGACAGCAGACCCAAGGGACAACTGCTTGAGGCCGGTCACACATGGCCTTTTTATTACAGGTTTTTTGAGTATTAGCTCCGCTCTTGAAAGCCCTTAGTGGGCAGCATTTACCGCTGGAGACGGGGATCCGTGAGGTGTGGTAGCGGCTTCGGTTGGGTGATTCCACTGACTAAATCGAGGAGACTAGCACAAGACTCATTTATGTTAAATAAAGCTTGTAGTGGAATAGTTCTATGAAGAAAACGCAATTAATGAAAAGGAAGCATTTATTACTGTGATTACGGTTTGTGAAGATTGTTAATTTTTTTTGAAACCATGAATCGATCACGTTTCGTCCTCTCACAGTGCTTCCAGGTTTCTAATGGTGTCTAACATAACATTGATCGATTCATGGTTTCAAAAAAAATTATTATTGTATTCCTTTTGTTTTAACTGCATTAAAAACGCTTACTTACGCGCAAATTTCTGTTTGCTGTCATCATTCGTAACATGCTCCTTAATTCTATCTTCCTCAAATATACTCCTTTATCCTGGATTTATATGTATTAACTGTGACGGGCTAGTAATCAGTATCTAGTGGTGATCATAGTCAATCACAACTCGATCACCACTAAAAGCTGATCGAATTTGAATTAAAATAATCAAGATTGTAATGATCCCAACCCCTGGAAATTAAACACTAAAGTCTGAATTACAATGATTACTGTTGGGGATGGTAAATCCCCAGAACTCACTTGATAAATATCTTTATTTTGGATTTTATTCATGGGCTGATCAGTTGACCTTGAGATCACATTTCCAAACAGGAAAATCCTTGGCTTTGATTGGTTACTGTGTCATTTTAGTGTGCTATTCTTGTGACTCTCCCAAGGACATCTCTATAGAGTATAAATAAACGCGATTTGTGTACTGGATGGGTGTTTGTAGAATACACTTTCTACGCTATATCAAGACTTCTTGCTGGTATAATTAGGACAATCAGACCACAATATCCTACCTGGTTCATTGTTTTTTTCTCGTTATTCGACTAAGGTGAACACGTAATAGTTTCAAGCATACCTAGTGACAAACTTAACAAGTAGCGACGGGGATGGGATGAACTGTGTGTAGCGCAGGCACCTTTATTATGGTTAGGTAACTGTTGGTGAACAACAGGAACTTCGGAACCACCTTGACCCCAGATTGGACCAAAGTGTTGTCATACTGCATGTGTCAGTGTTGGGTCTTGATCGAGGTAGTTAAGCAACCAAGTTCTGATGTCCGAGAATTTGGGTGATTGAAAACTGCATATAAATATGAGGGATTTGAAATGCTCATCAGTGAGGGATCTGAGTTTGAACCGTTCGCACTCATGGTTGACAATGCCAGCATGGGTCATTAAGTTATCGAACTCATTCATGACCAGTTTTAAGCAGCGATAACAAGTACTGAAAAGAATACTGGTCACCAAAAAGTTTGCTGAGAGACCGGAAAGTAGCATCGAATGACCGGTCGCGTGGGTTCTGCGGCAGGATGCAGTTGCAATACTGGTCCAGGTCTGATGGAATAAGTTTTCTAAGGTGAGGACGCACCTTCCAGGAATCATCTCTGTCAGCAAAATCAACTTTGAATAGGTCTTTGTAACGCCTGAACCACGTATCAAATGTAATATTGGCGTCAGGATCATAAAGGAACTCTGAAATACCACTGGTCATACTATCGACTGACTGAGGAATTGTGGGTGTAGATGAGACTTGAGAAGATGTGTGTGTCAGAGTACGCATCTCCATCAACTTCAGCTGTTGTGCAAACAATTTATTTAATTTAGCTACATCCATCATAATTCACCGGATCGTTTAACAAAATGCCGCGGCCAAATTGTCACGCTCGTCTCTAGGTATGCTTAAACTATGACGAGTTCACCTTAGACAAATAATGGGAACAAAATAATGAACCGGTGTCCAGGTAGGCTACTGTGATCTGATTGTCCCAAGTGTACCAGCAAGAAGTCTTGATACAGCGTAGAAAGTGTATTCTACAAACACACAGCCAGTACACAAATCACTTTTATTTATACTTGTTAGTGGAACATAGATGGATTAAAGCATGACTGAGCTAGCTGTGCGCTGATTGGCTAATTTCCTATCCAATCAGCGCCTGGCCCATACTTGGGGAACAAGCTAGAAAATTCTCATGTTGTTAGCTGCATGCTGATTGGCTAAATTTAATCCGGTCAGTGCCAGTCAATCACGTGAATTACATTACAGAAGCTTCTCATGTAAAAAAAACTATAAGGACACTAACGTTGAATCTTTTATGCCTTCGCCTTTGACTTCTTATTTCCATTTAACCTTACTATTTGGAATATAATCTTTTCCTGTTCCACCGTGTTTTTGATTCTTTGGAACTTGTCCAGTGTATTGTGGTCAGAGAATACTAAGCAATAGGAATTAGCTGGGAACTATTTAAGCGAGCGTTACAACAATACTCCATAAAGATGTCCTTGTGAAGGTCACAAAAATAGCAAACTAAAATGACACAGTAACCAATCACAGTACTAAACAGGACACGAAAACACATACTGGATAGAAAATAAATACCCTCAAATTCATACTCCATAAAAATAAAAATTAACAATCATGTACAAATGAAATTGCTACGCCTGCACGTAAACTAGTCAACTTGATACATTTGAACTATTACGAGTTTACCTAGTCGGAAAACGATAGCGGGTATCGAGGATCCGGCGACACCACATGCTACTCAAATACGATTATTCCAACCCTCATATTTAGTTAAAATAAGAAGACATGATATGAAGTAGAACCTGTATTCTACAAGCATCCAGAAAGCACGAGGTCCGAGTCCAGAAGAAAATAAGGATCCCGGACTAGCGATCCGGGACCGAGTCCAGGTCCTCATCACAAAACGTTACACATAATGCGTATTTATACATTTTGGTCGAATAGGAAACAGCATCGAAGTCTGTGACATTGATAGTTCAGACGACCAATAGGAAGTAACATTTGAAGTGACATTGATAGTTAGGACAACCAATAAGAAACAACATTGAAGTATTTGACTTTGACAGTTATAACGACCATAATTTTGACCAATAGAAACCGACCAATAGGATTTGACCAATAATTCTCTTAGGATATTGGATGAATATCCTAACAGAAATACATTTCAAGAAAACCTTTAAAAAAATCATCTCATTATATTTAATAATAACATAATGAACTTATTTTATATATTATTATATAAAACAAGATTAATGAAAGTTAAATGTAAGGCAAAAAGAAAGCATAAGTATAATCACAAAGAAAAAAAGTTTGAACAATGAATCAGTTATGCAGAAGCAAGTACATTAACTATTCAGTATATAATCAATGAACTTGAGATTAACATGTAGATGTTTGTTCTTCACTAAAGAAAAGCTGCTTAAGTGGAAACTGTGTGACCAGCAGAAGATTCAGATTAATTTCATTTCTATTTTACATAATCAACAATTTAAAAGATTACTCTCATTTCTAGTGTCATTAACATGAACTTAGCCTAGAAAAAAGAGAGAATAACATTTGAGAAAGCCGAACAGTATCGAATGACTGTTTTAAAATAAAAAGAAAAATTAAATTCACAGTTACTTGATGATTAAATACGAGATGGTATCAGTCAGTTCCTGTTAGGATATATACCAAATATCCTAAGAGTACTATTTTTGGAAGTATAATCCTATTGGTCGATTTCTATTGGTCAAAATTATGGTCATTTTAACTGTCTCCAGGACTCCAGGATTCCGTTCCTTCCTGCCTACCTCTCTTCTGCACTCGAACCAATAAACAAATCAATCCAACGGTGTTGCGTTCTGATATATAGGAGATTTGGCAATAGTATATGGGTCGTATTGGAATATTTGAACTCGGACGTCGGTAGGATTTGAATAGCTACGCAGCAGTATTATAACAGTTCCAAAGTAGAACTCTGTACGTACGTACATCAGTTCAGGTTGCCATACCACATTAGCACATAGACAAGACTGTCAGTTCAAATCCCATATCGGTAGAGATAGTAGTAGTATTAGCGGTAATAGAGAAGATTAAGCTTCGAAGAGATTGTTCAAGAAGCATAATTCAGTGATATAACTTTAAAAAGAGAAAGATAGGGATGATGAGGAATTCAGAAGATTAGAATTCCATCGAATACAAAACAGGCGTGTTGCTCTATTTGACACAGGGTTGGAAGATTAAAAGCTCCTACATGTAGTTTAGAATGGGGTTTCAAGAATAACGTTTCGTGGACTCGAATCATTTGCATTAATTAGCTTTGTGGGGTGATAAAGGAATGTGAGAAGAGTTAGTTGTTGCGATAAGAAAAATGTTAGGGGATGTGAGAAGGATTTGTTTGTGAACAATTTAGTCTCGCGTGCTTTGACAAGTATGAGGGCACATGTCACTTCATGGTTGCTCACACCATGGAAGAGACGGGAATGTATGCCTTCACATAACACATAGTAATGCTGATTTATGAGGACCATCAATTATAAGTGATGTATCATTAAGACAACTTGATTTGATACTGGTAACAAAAAAGTCTTAAACAACTCAGTTTGATTTAAATTTAGAAGTGAAAATGTTATCAGGAGTTGAGGTCTCATAATCACTGATTACCAGTAATACGCCATTTGCTTCCTTAGGATCGTGGAGCCCATGAGCACCATTAGGTTGGAATTGCCATATTCCAACTCTCCTAGTTGGATTGTCCGTCCTGGTATGAGACTCATCAGCAGTGCGCATCCACGATGATGAGTCTCATACTAGGATGATACGGTCGTCCAGGGCTTCCAGGTTTCTTATAGTAGTCTAACTTTGATCGACTCATGGTTTCAAAATGTGTAACTTGACAATCTTCACAACCCCGTAATGATATTACTATTAGTCATTAAAGCATAAAATTGTTGTTCAGACCATGCATTATAACACCAAGCCATTCAAAAGTGAATTCAATATTTAACCAACAAATCACAAGTTCAAAGCACTCTTCATTTGCTTAGGTCATGTCATTAACTACATGTTCGTTTACAATATTATTGGGGATGTTAGATCTCTAAACCTAATTTGGAAAATGTCCTAATTTTGGATTTTTTTTTGTTTTTGCGCATACGTTGCTTAGTTGACCCTGAGATTACATTTCCCAAGCGGAAAATCCTCGACTGTCATTGGTTCACGCATTATTTTAGTACGCTATTTTTGTAGCTCTCCCAAGGACGTTTATATCATGTATAAATAAGCTCGATTTGTGTGCTTGTCAACCTCGCGTTTTCTGGGTGCTTGTAGAATACACTTTCTACGCCATATCAAGACTTCTTGATATAGTTAGCCTGGCCGGGGACAAACGGATTAGAATAGCCTATCGTGTCACTGCATCATTTATCTTCGCTCCGTTTACTGAGTAAGGTGAACTCGTAATAGTACAACCATATCAACTGATGAGCATATCAAATATACATACGCGGATGGATACATATACTTGTTATTCAAGGCTACAAAAGCTTGAATTCGTCAATAATTATTATAGCCAAATGTTAAAGGAAAAGTCTTTTATCCTAAATATTTAACTGAATCAATAAAGAAAAAACTTACGCAGTATAATAACCACTATTCATGGACAAAATCGAAATTTCCCATAGTATTTATAAACATATATAATTGGCAATAGAGATAAATTTAAAAAGCATACATAAGCAACTCCATAACCAAATACATCGGTCAAATATGCAGCTATTGTACCAAATATAAGTTTTCCCAATAATTCTGCTGTACTTAATATTGAATAATGTGTTGCTTGATAATCTTTAGTTGTTTCAGAGCAAGTACAATGCATCATCAAAGTGAATATGACTGTTGTAATTCCTCCACTAACCACAAGTAAACTATTCATCAATAAACAACCTATCCCTAAAATCAATAATAAAATATCAAATATGGTAACTCGGATCTGGATAAAGATTAAAGTAAATAAAAGTAATTTAGACGACTAATTTATAGTCAGTCAAGTCAGTCAGTTTGATTGTGACGAGTATGAGGGCGGATATCACTTACCGGCTACCCACACCGTGGAAGGGTGTTTCTTAAGGAACCTGAAAAGGAAGTTAGATTAATGTTGGTTTTAGAGACCAAACGCAAAGCATAAGAGACTATTGCTTTAGGCCGGTCACGCACGGCCTTTTTGTGAGAAGGTTTTGAAGTGTTAGCTCCGCTCTTAAAAGCCCTAAGTGGGCAGCCCTTACCGCCGGAGACGGAAATCCGTGAGGTAGGGTGAGGTGTGACATTTTTAGAGTCGCACTTTTCTAACCCTTTCTTCCATGTGAGAAGGCAGCATCGCTGCAGATGCTGGTTGTCTAACATACACACCTTACTGCTGTCACATCCTTCTACAGTCAGCAGTACGACTTCGCCCTCAGACCTTGAGTAGCTGCTCTTAGTCTCATCGTTCTTCACTCGACCTGCGTGGTATGGTAGAACCGGAAAGAACATATGTTCCAACCAATATAGCTTGGTTGGGTTATCACAATAGCGAAACCCAACCACCACGTCAAGGGAGCAGCTACGATCCGGTGCTAATACTAATTTATGGATTATTGACGAGTACAATCATAAGCTTTCTACTAACCTACAACCTAATATCATACAATTTATTGTTCCTGCCACTCATCCTGGAGCACTTTTTTAGACTCAGACCATGCTCTAGTGCGAACGCACATTTGTCTGCGTCTCATTGGACGTAGGAAAAATATCGCACGGAAACCTGTTATTATCATAGTTCATTGCTCCTATTTCGATGACAATTTATTATTTGTCTGGTTGTGTGTGTGTAATATAGTAACGAATCTTGGACTGGTTATCATTGGTCTTTCGTTTTCCCTCTCGGTTTGGGAAAGTTAGTAGTGAGCCGTCTTTCAAGCATAAAGTAGCAAGTCATCTCGTCCTTGTTGTATTTTTACTAGTGAAAAGCCAAAACACTGAATTACATAAATCATATGTTTATTGAACAGATGAAAAGTTGTCACCTTATTTAGAATATAGAGTTGTGGAGATTGTTGAGTTTCAATGAAATCATGAACTGATCAATAGTAGAACACTACTGGAAGCCTCGAAGCCGTCCCGTACCATTAGAAGTACTTGACGGTCGTTCTGTCCTAGTATGAGTCTCATCATCGATGCACAACCGTGAACCGACGACCTTCGATCTCGTCTGCGAATGCTTAACCAACTGATCACTGGTCCGACATACAATGGTGCTAATGTCTAACTTCAATTAATCAACAATATAGCGCAATTATCATTCACATTGTGTTTGGTGAGTAACTGAATGACACTCGACACGATTGAACTCCCTTGGTCACAGCTAGTCACTAGAACCCCGAGGATATCTTCACAATGCTAGTCACTAGTGAGCACATGATAATTGTCAGTATAGAGTTGAGGAGATTGTCAAGTTGCATTTCAATCGATCAATGTTAGACCACCATTAGAAACCTGAAAGCACTGGACAGATGTCTCGCTTTACTATGAGACTCATCAGCAGTGCGCAACATGGAGAGAGCTGGTTGAAACCCTAACTAGTCAAATATAGTTATGATCAAATTTTCCAAGTATTAACCCATCTGCATGCCGGGAAATAACACGTTTAGAAATAGATATCACGTTACAAGACAAACTTTTTATCATCACCGTAGAACAAGTTTTACACCCCTTAATTACAGTACACTAACTAGTGGGATTTTCGGATAACAACAGAATAATCTTTATAGATTGATTTCAGTCTACAATTTACAAGTTGCAAGATGACCATCCCTTGAAATAAATTTATACAGGATGTAGCTACAAATTCAGTCAATCAATCAACAGCAACGTAGAAGTTCGTACGCACGTACATCAGTTCAAGTTGCTGATTACTATCACCTCGCGGACCTCAACCAGGTAGCCAACATCTACTAACATGACTCAATCCAGTTATCAGTGACTTCATGGATTTCTGCCATGTTCCGGTTTGGCCGCCCCTAGATTTTTTCCAGACTGCCCCTACATCATGAAACATCGCACGTCAAGGCATTCGGTGGTTGGAAATACGTAACACATGTCCCAACCACCTCAACTGATGAAGTGTCACTACTGCGTCTATTTGTGGTGCTGTGGTGCGAACTACTTATAAGTAGTATATAGCGTGAGTGTCAACGTAAAGTCTGGTAGCATAATATGGGGGGAAGATCAAGAAAGGAAGAGTCCGAAAACAATGGAATTTGTATGAAACGCATGAAGAGTGACAATGGATTGATGTTTGGCAACAGGAACAGTCCAGTTCCATAGGATGAACTGATCTTTTGCAAATGAACGATTTACGATATGGTTTTCCGATTTTACTGAGTAACTCTGTAATTTTCGTTAAATACAATTCGGTTGCCTCCACCTGTGTTCTCATTCACTACATATTGACCTGCCATCCTTACCTAGGACCCGTTCCCTAACAACCAATCATTTAAACATACTTTTCCTTACTACGTTGAGGAGAACAAGAACAAGAATGTTATTTCAACGACCTTGTTGTTCAGAACTCCGATTGATCAGCCTCAGTATAACGTTATGCTGTCTCAAGTTATAGTATATTCGGTATGCGACTAGGAAGGAAGTCTAAAACAAGTATTTCATTATAATTGGGACTCGTTACATGGATGTACCTGCAGCTAAGTGTTGACATTCACAATGAAATTTAAATCTGTTATTCTTACCTTCAAATACCAAAGTATTAGTCATTGAGCTACTGAGTTCATATGGTCCAATTCTGAATATCAAAATTAGTAAAATCGAAACCCACAATAATGCTTTCATGCTTATTGCAATGTGGCCAAGTGAACTCAGTATATTAGTGGATAACTAATTCATCAACGATTAGGAATGAAAGTTACCAAGTTTGAGTTACAGCTTAAACATCAACACTACAATGAGGGTATAATATCCAACATAGAGGACGAAACTCCACCACACAAAAAAACGATACAAATTAGAATAAAATGTTACATGTGATTAGTTTAATTTTAAAAAAATTCAAATAACTTACAGAAAGAAACATTAGGCGCATTTATCCAAACAGATTCGAAAGCAATCATTGTTAGAGGAAATTGTAAACAAATACGAATTATCATCAGGGTGAGAATGGAAGTTAGCGGAGATCTAGAAAACAATTGGAAAAAAATCATCCCAGCTTCATACAATCACATCATTCAACAAAATAACAACAAATACATTTATTTATTGGGCTACAAATTCCCCACTATCATTTCTAAACTTTTAGACCCGTTTGTTAAACGAGAACTCAGTCAGTCAGTTGCGACGTAGAACTTCGTACATGAGTACATAAGTTCAGGTTGCCATACCACATCAGCACAGAGACGCAACTGTCAATTCGAATCTCATAGTGGTAGCGATAGTAGAAGTATTAGCAGTAATGGAGAAGTTTAGGGTTCGAAGATATGATTCGAGAAGTATAATTCAGTAAGATAAATTTAGAAGGAGAAAGATAGAGATTACGAGGAATGCAGAAGCTTAGAATTTCATAGAACACAAAGAGTGGATGCATTTGCGCCATTGCAAACGATTCTGAGCCATGTCGTTCAAGGTCTCTAACTATCGGTGACTTTCGTCTCGCGGACACCAACCAGGTAGCCTACATCTACCAACATGACTCACTTCACTTGTCAGTGACTTCATGGATTTCTGCCATGTTTTGGTCTGGCCGCCCTAAGCTTTCTTCCAACCTACTCTTACATCACAAAACATAGCTCATCGAGAACTCAATAACTATCGCATGATCAGAGACTAAGTATGCACGTAGAGAATTAACTGATATGAACTGTAGTATTTAATGAGGGGGAAAATGGAAATATCTTACTGTGTTCATGCACCAATAAACTAAAATGATTTGAATAGCTGATGTAAATTATGAATGTCTAGCGTGTAAACTCGTGACGTAGCTGTTAAAATATTTAGCAATAAGGCGAAAACTATTCGAAAATTTGAATTATGTCACAGTTAATTACTACTGGCTTCGTGCAAAATCTGAATATATATATATATGCTGCTTTGTCCCCCTGATTTTTTTCAAAATACCGAATCAAGCAACAATTTTTATATTTTCTACAATTAGAAAAGTTTATGATTATTATTATTATAGGTGACATCCGACCGTAGCTGCTTCATTGGTGCGGTGGTCAGGCTCGCCTATCGTGATTACCCAACCGGGCTATATCGACTATCCTGCCAGGTAGATCGATTGGAGAATGGTGAAACTGAAAGCAGTAACTGAAGTTCAGAGAGAGAAGTCGTACTGCTAACTGTAGAGAGGTTTGACAGCAGTCAGGTGTTTCCCTCAGACATCCAGCGTATGCAGCGATTCTGCTTTCTCACAAACAACTACTAATCATCCTTATTTTTCTCTTTTTAAGTTTGTTTCACTGAATTGTACTTCTTGAATAATTTCATCGAAACCTAACCTTCTCCATTACCGCTAATACTTCTACTACATTTACTACTACGGGATTTGAATTGACAGTTGCATCTTTGCGCTAATGTGGTATGACAACTTGAACTGGTGTACTTACGTACAAAGTTCTGCATTGTTGCTAACTGACTGACTGATCATAGGTAACAGAAAGCACACTGAAATGAATATTTATCTAAAGTTTGTACACCGGATACACAAGTTAAATAACATCAAAACTCTCTTAGCGTACTGTGCAAAGAAAATCTGGACAGCCTAATTTTAAAAATGGAGGTTGAAAATAATCAATAAGACATAGTATGCTAGAGAAACAATCGTCATTTAGGAGAACATCAATATCACATAAATGAATAAGTTATATTCATCAATCGTCGCAATACTATGTGTTTACTAGTGTCTAACTTTTAAAGGTGAATTGTAGAGTTCTAGCAAGAAGTTGTGACTAGTAAACCTCAACCATGTTGAGTGTAAGACAACTAGTCCTAACTCCACTTGGCTGTTTGTCACATTAGGCATAAGAAAGCGATTTTTCATCATTTCTAACATGACCTGATAATCCATAATAGTTTTTAGTCGCAACGAGTGTAAACCAACGTTTGAGCCATATTTTCGGGCAGAATTTTGGAGGTGCAGGAGTCGTGGATGCGCACTGCTGATAAATCCTATACCATGACGAAACGGCCGTCCAGTGCTTCCAAGTTTCTAATGTTGGTCTAACAATGATTGATCGATGATTTCAAATGTGTAAAAACACACAAACCTCCAAAACTCTGCCCGAAAATATCGTAACAGTGCTCACTAGTGACTAGCTTCGTGAGGAAATTCTCGGAGTTCTAGTGATGAGAAGACGTGACTAATGGAGTTCAACCCTGTCGGGTGTAAGCAGTAACTACCAAAGACAAATGGGTGCGGTTGCGCAAAAACCCGTAGATCAATCAGAGTTAGACATTAATACTATTGGATGCCGGGCCAGTGGTCCGATGGTTAGACGTTCGCGCACAATACCGAAGGTCCCGGGTTCGAATCCTGCGAGGTGCAGGAGTCGTGGATGCGCGCTGCTGATGAGTCCTAAGCCATATTTGTCTTATATATTCTTTATCATTATATTTTGTCTGTTTACTTCGATAAACTTCACTAGTAAGTAAATGAGCAGTACGATTGTTTGAAATGCACAGCGTGAAGTACACTACATATTTTAAAACATTCGTTAGCATATGTTTAATAACTTAAACAAACCTGAGTTTTTTCTCAATATAATATCCAGAAGAAGACCCAATGATAGATGCAAATTGTCCAATAACACCTGTCCAAAATCCAACTTTCGATAAAGAAAATCCTCTATCAAAAAACATCAAAGGTAACATATTCATAGATCCTTGTTCGCCAAGTTTATAAATCAATAAAAGAACAATAAGACAACGTGAACTCATTGAATTAATCAAAGCGATTTTGAAAGCTTTTGTGTATGAATATTGTTGTTTTGATTCCATCACAAGTAAATCTTGTCCACCATTTGGATTCTCATCTTCTGATTAAAATAAGATCGAATAATCACATAAAATACAAGAACACAAAGATATATATTTATAATATTATAATTCAGAATTGGGAATTAATTTAATTCAACTATGAAATATATAGCGTATGTAAAGGGTGTGTTGCGGTATTTGATTCAATGTACAGCTTACAACTTTGGTGGCCCGAGACCCAATATTTATGAACATTTAAATATGCTATGAAATAAATTTCGCCATCAGTTTCCTTATATTATCATTAGGCGAACTCCGTTTGTGCGATGGCGGTCGGATGAGTTTATTTCAGACAATTGTTCACGCAAACATAGACAGACAGACAGATACAACGCCGAACTTCGTACATAAGTACATCAGTTCAGGTTGCCATACCACACACATCAGCACAGAGACGCAACTGTCAATTCAAATCCAAAAATGGTAGCAATAATAGAAATATTGGCAGTAATGGAGAAGATTAGGGAGCGAACATATGATTCGAGAAGTATAATTCAGTAAGATAAATTTAGAAGGAGAAAGGTAGAGATTATGAGGAATGCAGAAGCTTAGAATTTCATAGAACACAAATAGTGGGTGCACCTGCGCCATTGCAAACGATTCTGAGCCATGTCGTTCAAGGTCTCTAACCATTGGTGACTATCGTCTCGCGGACCCCAACCACGTAGCCTACATCTACCAACATGACTCATTCCAATTGTCAGTGACTTCATGGATTTCTGCCATGTTTTGGTTTGGCCGCCCCTAGCTTTCTTCCAATCTACTCCTACATTGCAAAACATAGCTCGTCGCGGCAGTCGGTGGTTAGACATACGTAACACATGTCCTAACCACCTCAACTGATGAAGTTTCACCACTTCATCTATTGATTTGCCATCCCTACCTAAAACTCGTTTCCTAACGACAGCATTGCTTATACGGTTGTCCCATGATACACGAGCAATGCTTCGGAGAGATCGATGATCGAAGACTAGTAACCTACGGAAGTCCTCTACTCTTAATGGCCAAGTCTCGCATCCGTACAGTAGGACGGAGCGAACCACGCAAACATGATAACGAAGAGCATACAGGTAAATCAAAGCGAAGTGAATTGAAGTGAAGAATGCAAGAGAGTCAACTCCATTTGATTAAGCATGACTAAGAATTTACAGTCAAACAAAAATAAGGCAGACATGTAATAAGCGAGATACGCGTGCATATGCACAAATAAAAGCAACGCAGATATGAACGAATGACTGACGAAGTCAAAAGACAAGTGGGCTAATTAATTTTTCCAAAAGCTAGGACGAGCCCTATGAGCTAGACATAATAGGACTCACTACAGGTGATCGACTCAAATATTTTATTATACCATACTCGGTATAACTCTGCCTGGAGCCAAGGAACACATTACGCCGAAAAATGGAGACAGACATAAGAAGAATGAACAGAAATTGGATGGAACTAGAAAGGACAGCCCAGAACAGAGTCGGTTGAAGAATACTGACCGGCGGCCTATGCTCCGCTTGGGGTAACAAGCGTAAGTAAAGTAAAAAAGTAATACTCTGAATAATATGAAGCTCAAGCGTTTTTTTTTGCCTTTTGTGTAAATCATTCTTTTCTGCATTTAACCCGTTAAGTTAATAGATTATTATGACCATTAGGTCGCGCATAATTACGCAACAACTCAATTCGCCATACTTGAATTGAGTACAATGAAGGAGAAATATTAAAAAAATTGTACAGAAAGAATTCGGAGTTTGATATTTAATTAAAAGGTAGAACTTCGTAAAAATGCGCATTAGCCTAAGTTGTCATACAATTTAGCATGATGAAATGGAGTTGAAGGACACAAAATAATTTAATTCTAATGATAATAAGGACTGAAGACCGGAGTGGAGAACAAGATAACAATTTCATGATTCTGCTCCACTGTGATAGACTTTAAGTCACCGGTTATATGCAACGAAACAAAATGTGTATCGGTACAAGTTGCCGCACTACATAGACAAAATTAAGCATAGAAGATACGAATACGTGAAAAAAATTGTGAAAATTTAGAAACTTAGGATTTAAGGTAAGATTAAGTGAATGCATTTGTGTCATTGAGAATGATGTTCAGTTATGTTACGCAGTCTGTACGATTCTGAGATATAGTAGCCAACGTTTTCAACCACTGGTCGTGGTTATTACGCGGAACTCAATCCAAGTAGCCTCTAATTACCAACATGGTTCAAAGAGTTAAGGTTCAAGAGTTAATAATCTCATGGACTTGGGTAACGTTTGGATTTGGAAGCTCCTAGCTAACTCTTACACCAACATTGCACACTGAGGTAGGAGGTGATTAGGCATATGTACCCAGCCAGACAGTTACAACGTAGAACTTCGTACGTAAGTACATAAGTTCAGGATGTCATACCAGATTAGCACGGAAACGCAATTGTCAGTTGAAATCCCACAGTAGTAGAGATAATAAGGCATATGTACTAAATTTCCAAATCATCCCAGTTGATTTACAACCTCACCAAATGATTTGCCTAGTATCACACACATAAAATACCGTTCTAAAGGAACGAATAAAATCAAGGGGTGAAATTATATTAAATAGTTTACGATTTAGAGTTTACGGTTAAGAACGTGTGTACCTACGAAATTTTGATTTTGAAAAACATCAACTAAAATGTTTGTACCTTTTAATAGGGATCATTGGAACAAGCATCACGTTCATAGATTGAGATATTGTTTACATAGTCAAGTACATATTTTAGTGAGGATACTAAACACAACATCTATAGTGTTTGTTACTATACCACTTAGACCATTTGGTTATATGAATGCTCTAGTGACCTCGACACTGGGATTCATCGGTAGAAAAAATCCAACTCTTTTTACAAGTCAATACTTCTTCGTAAATCAAATCAAAAATAAATCGAACAGTGTTCCAGTCGATTAATCTTCCCTCTTTTACTTGTTAACCTATTTGGTGATACAAGTTTTCTCCCCTTTGCCAAGGCCGTTTAGTGATTACCAAATTTACATGCTACTAATCTACTATTAAATAGCCTGTCGCATCAAAGCCTTTAAACTAGACTGAGACAAAATTATTTCCTATGTATTAGTGGTAGACGATTCAAGGACGTAACAACAAATCAGACTAATAACTGATGTTCGATCCAACATCAGCTAATCTAACGCGATGACAACACGATCATCTGATGTCCAAAAGTTTGAAGTGATACATGTTCATAGTATTATCGGCTAACTCGCCCATTCAATGTATAGCACTGTTAAATATTAAACATACCCTCTAACAAATTTGACTTTAAACGTGAAATTTACAAATGCAAACATTGTTGGATTATCTTTCTGGATATCACAGCAGCAGTGAAAACAATTAATGTCAGTCAGTCAGATGCAACGTAGAACTTCGTACGTAAGTACATCAGTTCATGTTGCCATACCACATCAGCACAGAGAAGTAATTGTCAATTCAAATCCAATAGTAGTAGAGGTAGTAAAGGTATTAGAAGTAATCGGAGAGGTTAGGGTTAGAAGATACTATTCAAGAAGTATGATTCAGTGAGAAAAGTTTAGAGAGTCGAAACTAGAGGTGTTAAAGAATCCAGAAGATTAAGATTTGAGGGAACACAAAGAATAAATGCACCGGCGCCATTGCGAACGATTTTGAGCCATGTCATTCAAGGTCTCTAACCATCGATTATTATCATCTCGCGGACCCCGAAAACAATTAATGTACTTAATCTGAATAGAACTTAGCTGATTTAAAGGCATAGAGAGGTATCCAAGTGGTTGAAATATCCAACACTAAAATAGCAGGAGGTCACAGATTCTAATCTCGTTTTATTTGCTTTAGGTTGGGGGCAGCTAGCTAGGTGATAATCACTACTCCCTACACTAGCAGTGTGGTGCGCGCTACTTATAAGTAGTATATGACGCGAATAAAAACGTAATGCCCGGCAGCAGAAGATGGGAGAAGATCAAGAAAGGAAGAGTGGGAACACAATGGAATTTGTATGAAACGCATGAACAGTGAGTGAAATGTCAGACAATCGATTGATGATGGATTGAAGATTTGCAAATTAACCGTTTACGATATGGTTTTCCTATCTTACTGAGTAACTCTGTAATTTTCGTTAAATACAATGCGGTTGCCCTCACCTGTGTTCTCCTTCACTACAGCAGTATCACTTAAAAATGAAATCATTAACCAGAAAAATGAACTACTTTACAAGAATTAAGATTAAAAAAGACATGAATAATATTTTGATTTTCAAAACTTTTCCAAAACAAAGAAAAAATGTTACAAAATCACAAAAAAACCGCTATAAAAATTTATCAAATTTTAATTAATCTTACCATCTACTTCAATACACATTTTCTCATATGACAACTGTTTAACGCTGATAAATTTCCAACATTTGCCAATCAAACAAAAACACATACCACTAGCATATAAACAACCAAGTAATATAAACAAATAATTCATTTGTATAAAAGCTGATAACCATGCCAGCAGTCCACCACCAATAATAGCACCACATTTATAACCAACAACTTGTATAGTATTCCCTAGAGAAATTTGATTTGATTTTAAAATCGACAAAGTTAATGAATCCACTGTGATATCTTGTGATGCTGCCCAAAAATTATATAGAAAAAGGCCAACTGAAATACTAAACATGATTGAATGATCTCCACTAACTAATTGTTCAGTTTTTACATATAATAACATTGTACATAGAAATAAACCACTGAAACTAATAAATAACCAGAGTCTTTTATTGACATGTCTATCAATTATTGGAGCATATAAGCTTTTAAATAACCAAGGAATATGTAGGAGTTTATGGAGACCAAGTGAAGTTAATGAAAGACCTTTATTACGAAAAATAAGTGGTAGAAATCGTGATTGAACACCATATGGTATACCTTCAAGTAAATATAAATAGAATAATACAATTAAAGTATACATTTAAAATGATACAAATTTAATTGAATAGTAGTAATTGATGAATAAATGTGAAAAATTAATAAATCATTTGTTTGAAATTCAACATCGCATTGGACAAATACGTTACAAATAGATTGAATTTGAATAAATCTATTGGAAGTAAGTTTGAAGAAATAACGCTCGACTGGACGTTGATAATGATAGTTGATAAAAAAGACAAAGAATATTGTCAAATCTGAAAAAAAAAAGATGAAAAAATGGAGATGGTTAAATATAGTTAGTATATTCTACGTGAAAAAAATTCAATATACAAATCTTGATAGTCTATGTAGTAAACACTAGTTTAGTCAGTTTGAATAAATAACTACTTAATTGTTGTATACGACTAAATTTTAAGAAATAACAGGGAGAAAGTTAAGTATACCGTTTATCATTGTACTGTGAATGTATCAAGTAAATATTATTAGCTCGCTTATTGACTTAGAATATGCCGATGACATAGTCCTACTTGGTGAAGACGCTGACAAAATGTAGAGTCTTCTGACTACCCTAAGCAACAATGCAAGCATATTCGGGATGCGGTTCTCACCCTCGAAATGCAAAATGTTGCTTCAAGATTGGGTTGCATCGGTACCTGAACTAGTGATAGGGAGTGAAGTAGTCGAACGTGTAGACCGCTTCACTTATCTGGGGAGTCTCATCAGTGCTGATGGCCTGGTGACTGACGAAATCTCGGCACGGATACAGAAGGCTCGATTGGCTTTTGCCAACCTGCGTCACTTATGGCGTAGGCGAGATATGCGTTTGCTGACTAAAGGACGCGTGTACTGTGAAGTGGTTCGCTCCGTTTTACTTTATGGCTGTGAAACATGGCCAGTCAGAGTAGAAGATATTCGTAGGTTACTGGTTTGCGATCATAGGTGTCTTCGAAGCATTGCTCGTATATCCTGGGACACCCGAGTGAGCAATGCTGTTATTAGGAAACGGGTGCTAGGTAAGAATGGCAGGTCAATAGATGAAGTGGTGAAACTTCATCAGTTGAGGTGGTTGGGACACGTGTTGCGTATGCCTAACCATCGACTGTCTCGAAGAGCTTTGTTTTGTAGTGTAGGAATAGGCTGGAAGAGAGCTAGGGGCGGCCAAACCAAAACATGACAGAAATCCATGAAATCATTGACGAGTGGACTTAGCCATGTTGGTAATTATCGACTACCTGGTTGGGGTCCGCGACATGATAATAATCGATGGTTAGAGATCCTTAATCACATGACTCAAAATCGTTCGCAATGGGGCCGGTACATTTATTCTTTGTGTTCTCTCAAATCCTAATCTTCTGGATTCTTCAACACCTCTAGTTTTGACTTTCTAAACTTTTCTCACTGAATCATACTTCTTGAATAGTATCTTCTAATCCTAACCTCTTCAATTACTTCTAATACCTTCACTACCTCGTCTACTATTGGATTTGAATTGACAATTACATCTCTGTGCTGATGTGGTATGGCGACATGAACTGATGTACTTACGTACGAAGTTCTACGTTGCATCTGACTGACTGACTGACAAGTAAATATTAAGTTATGATATTAGTTAACTTTAGGGTTTCCCCCAAATTAATGCTGACAGTTTAACTGATTCCATTACATAACTTTGTGAACATACTGGAAAACTTTTCTTCAGATCAAATTTTTACTAAATTCATCTTTTATCTACAACAATGATGTGAACAACTCCACGAGTTGACAAACTAACGCAAAGTTTAATAACATTTCAAATATTAAACACCAGTTCATCAATTCAGTAGTCTTTAATGATATACAGTCAGTCAGTCAGTTACAACGTAAAACTTCGTACGTACGTACACAAGTTCCGTTCGCCATACCACATTAGCACAGATACTCAATTTTCAATTCGAATTTCGTAGTGGTGGAGGTAGTAAAAGTATTAGCGGCAATCAAAAAAATTAAGGTTTAAAGATATTATTCAAGGAGTATAACCTAATTAAATAAATTTGAGAAGAGAAAGATGGTGGAGAAGAATCCAGAGGATTAGAATTTCAGCGATTACAAAGAGTAGATGCACCTGTACCATTACAAGCAATTACGAGCCATACAATGTTGTATTACTGAGTAGACTTTTAAATCCTACTGGGGTCAACTATATGAATCAAAAACTTACTTTACTTAGTTTCAATGTGCCATCTTTTCATGAAATCCTTGGATTACCAATTAACCAACTATAATGACAAACAGGTACTACTTTAGTTTATTTGCACTATTATTACACTTGTCAGCGTTCATTGCATGAAACTGATAATTCATGAACGATGAAAACGTCTTACTGATCTGTGAGTTATTGTTATACGACTTTTACTAAAGTTATTTGTATATTGCGATTTGTATATAGCGTATTAACTAGCTACATATATATCACTTGACGAGCTTGACAAGAATGTGCCTAGCATTAAGTCAGTCAACCTTATCAAATGATATACGGTTTATGGTGATAGTAAGCTCCTCTCACGAATTAATCATAACTTCGATACATAATTATTTTATATAAATAATAACTAACACAAGATTAAAATTTTGATAGATATTAGTAGATTTTCAAATAAGGATGAATAGAGGCCAGTCACCGGTCTCTTAGATGCCTGAAAGTAGCCGCCATCATTAGTGTCTGGTTGGACCGTTTCTCGAGATGTTTTGACTCATTGACAGAAAGCCGCACGATCTTGTACGTCTCTGTACGTTGTTACCATATTTCGCGTGGTACCGACATATAGATGCAGTTTTAAGTGACGTATACTGCTGATAGTTACGACAATAGGTGCAGATAGTTTGGAGTAAGGAAAACTTTTTACTGTAGTTTTCTCTATCATAAAAATATGAAGGAATAAAAACAAACACCGAGTCATCAAATAATGTAGCGGACCACTAAAATAAGATATCTTGACCCAGTTATTACTCCAAAACGTATAAAAGACAAAATATGTGAGTCACTTGCCATTGTCAGAATGATGCGCGTTCACAGTTTGAAATATAAATCCACAACTATAAAAATAAGCGAAAAATAATTCGAAGGAATGTCAGATATAGATCCAGTGTTATCGCGTAATTGACAGTGAATAAGTTGTATGGCATGGGCTAAAACGTGTGCAACAGAACTGCTAGTAAACAGTTAGAAGAACGGCAGCCAATAAAATCAAAACAACGTGTGTATACTTGCACGTGTTTCGTAAACAGTAAGGCGTTGATCTAGTAGCATCATTTATTGCAGAGGGTTGCTGAGCTCCAGAAGGTCAAACTGTCATAAAAATGATTGGTGCGTCACATCGACAATTCATTGATGTTTTCCAGTAGCGGTTAAGTCAAGTCAATTGCGAATCCAATATCCAATATTTTTCACGATCTATTATCAACCAATTGATTTCTTTGTGCTCTGTTCTTGTATTTTCAGTATAGTTCCAGGTATTTTGTAAGTCTCAATTACCAGTATTCTAGCCACTGGATTGCACTAATTCCAATCAGTTAGATCTCGTTTTAGTGGAGCAGATGCGACGGTGGTGTGAACTTCAAGGTGTGGGAGTGTGTATACTTTAAACAGTGTTAAGAATAATCCTGGTGTGATTGCACCAAGCTGTCTTCTCCGACAGTGAAGAGTTGCTTCAGCGTTTATTGAATTCCATATATATGTAGTGGAATACTTTTATGAAGAAAACATTCATTATTATAACCAATTGTACCAGTTTAACTGTACTTTTTGTCTATTACACTTTGTACGCGCAAACTTTATGTTTGTATTGCTGCCATTTTGGCTCCCCTGTCTCTGTGATTTCGCCCGACTTTTCCTGCTCAATTTCGGTATTCTTTCGATCCCACGAAATCGCCAGCAAATATATTATTTCGTATGAAATAACCTTTCTTCTCGGTGACGGGGTCGTTGCCAGTATATAGTGTCGATCATAGTCAATCTCGACTCGATCACCACTAAATATATTTCAAAACGGTGTCTAGGCTTTCTGTAGTAATTATACAGAGATTAGAATCTGAAGAGGCATTGAGAAGCGGACTTCCAGTTAGGATGTAACTTTTTGCATCATGTGGGACAGGCTATTCGTAATGTTACATTTTGACCCCTTTTTCTATGCCTAATGGATGTAAGGTCCTTTTGGACCTCAGCTGAAGCCTCTTCGCTGTTTACGGACCTACAGATCTTTGTATCGTCCGCGTAGATTATTGCCACTGAACTAATTTTATGGAACAAGTCATTGATTAATATCAGGAAGAGGAGTGGACCTAAGATGGTCCCCTGTGAAACCCCCAAAAATGAGACTCATCAGCTCGCACGCACTCAGTTTACTTTGGAGCGAAACTTCCTATTCCTAAGACGGTTTGTGAGCCAAGACAGAAGTCTACTTTTGTAACCTTCATAATTAGGATAGATGGGGTACTGTGTCAAAGACTTTTTCAAAGTCAAGAAAGATTATGTTATCGGTTATGCTCTGTCCAAACAGGTTGTAAAGCTATAAGATGGCTGGAGGTACATTACTTGAGTCTCATGGCGGATGTCGTTCACATATTCATCAGTCCTATTAAAATCGACAGTATTGGTATTAATGTAACCTATCTGGATCTTTCCTATTTTCTACTTTAAAGGTTGGACAGGGTGAAGCTTGCTTCCATTCTGCTAGCAGTTAGTGTGACTCCGATGAATGCCTGGACAGGTTACATTCTGGTAAACTGAGGGCTTCTGAACACTGTTTCAAGATTACAGGGCGAATATTGTCACGTCTGTGACTTTTCTGGGCGAAGAGATTTCTGATTTCTTATTGATAAATCAAGACTAACTCGGATAATCCCCAGACCTTCAAATGGACTAGATTTGACTAATAATAATAATAATAATAATAATAATAATAATAATAATAATAGTACTTCAAACTTGTTTGCTTACGTCTCCTAACGATAGAGCAGCATGTAACTAATCAGTGATACTAATATTACTTTTCCATATCAACAATGTCTACAACTCGTGTTTCTAACCTTACTCTCGTTTCACTTCCTACAAAGAAATCTCATTACAAGTAGATGAGGACTATCGGGGTGACAAGAGTTCATCAATGACTTTTCGAGCTACAGCGTTGAAAATAAAACAATAAGTGAAATACCACAAAGGCATCAGGTCATTGTGCCGTATATTCTGTAAATCAACATTATTTCTAACAATACAGTACTTTTGAATCTCCTGTATTAATAAGATTAGTTGCTTATCCGTTATCTTACTAGTGATTTGTCTTCATTAACCTACATGAGTGCAGGTGTACAATTAGTGTTTTAATTCAGAGGTCCGAGTAATCAAATCTTTGTTTTGTCCCAAAAACGTATCCACCGAGTAATGACTCGGCTTTGAACAAGAATATTTTTCGTTCTGCTCCTCACCCCTTTCTCTTCATTTCTCTTTTTCAGCACCTCACCATACTCCTTAAATATTGACCTAGATAGTTGCTGAAGACTTCGTTACTTTACCTAGGAGCCAGCAACCGACATAGCTCGCGTAAACTACTGTATTGTACACTCTAGATCCTGAAACATTATCCATAGTTTTATGTAAAAAAATTTAGCCATCTATAAAACGCCAGTGTATCTCGTGAAATATTAATCCAATTTTACAACATTTTACAGAAAACGTTTATTCAATTTTAACATTTTGATGTGTCCTGTGAATTGGCATGCCTCAAGTGACAGGTTTTTGTTTGAGAATTAATTAGAATTAATATTGATAGAAACAACCTTCCTTTCCTGAAATTGGTACCTCTTACTCGCATAGAATTTCTTCTCAACACCTCCGGACATCAACTCACATCACATACTTCCAAAAAATCCAGATTATTCAAAAATTAAGCACAGAAGCAAACTGTAGTCCTTTATGCTCTTTATGGACAGAAATATAGAAGAGGTAGGGACCTCCTACTCGAAAATCTCGGTGTTGATTGAACGCTTATTCATTCATTTAGGCTAACAGGATAATAATACTCATAAGTTTCAGTCTGAATGCATTAACTGCTTACAAACATTTACTGCAAGCTCACCAATATATGTGTTATATGCTTGAACTAACAATACTCATTGTATAAGAATACGTGAAACACGAGCATCTTCTCAAATCACGGACCAAGACCTGGCAATACCTGGAATGTATCTTTTCCATAGCGACAGAAAAAATGGAATAGGATGTCAGTCGGCTCTGCTTTACGATCCTGATTGGTAACATATTGGGTGTACGCCTACGATTTCAATGATCTTGATGAATCTGTTTGGCGCTCGCTATATGTATCATCTTTAAAGGACATTATGCAGTAGATAGATTGAGAAACAAAACATCAGCTTGATGTGAATTTTGACTGCGTTTTCTAACTGCACGCAGTCTTGTGTGCGACTTACTATTCACCAATCCAAAAAGCTTATCCAGTGATGCAGTCATTTCTTCCACAAGCTAAAGCTAAAGTGTCCTGTTTATTAGGTCTTAACGGAGCATTCAACAAAGACAGTGGTGGTGCAGAGATCCTAGCAAGACAGTATTTACAAACTCAAGCGGAGTCTCATAAGTAAAGCTAAGCTTTGAACTGGCATATCAGAAACAGTGGCATCTAAATAAGAACCATATCCCAGATATCGTCTGCCGTACTACACTAAGAGAAACAGCTTTCATCTTTGAGACACCGCTTAGGATGATGTTCTTACAATCACCATGTCAAGATGATCTGACTCAACTTCTAAGCCAGGTGGATAATCATTAACACGTTAAAGTGTTAAGCATTTTATGTGAGACTGCGCGTAAAATTGAGGTAGTTCCCCTCTAGAGGTTTCCAAAGTTGAATATGTAATAGTTTTGATATCCATTGATCTGAAGCCATAGGCTGTTACACAAATGTCTTTCGAATAAACTTTGCAACAGTAACGCTGGAGTGCATTTTTCGGCATTATGAAAATCGAACGTTTCACCTAACCTGTAGCAGCTTCATTCAACTACATTCGGGGTATGAAATTAGACTATTTAATCTCTTATTTCCAAAAAACAAGGATTCATTGAAGCGAACCCAGTGTCAAGCTTTCAAATCAGTTCTGTAACTCAAATTCAAACCTTATCGAGGGTCCCTCAAATAGCTTGGTGTTCATCAATTAGAGTATAGGTGTCTCAAGGATGATCTAATCAGCCGAAACACTCATGTACACCCCCTAAAATACCTGCTTAAGCTCAGTCCCAATACAAACCTTAAGTGTAGCACCCAGAAATTAGAGACACGACATAGCAGAACGAACCCCAGTCACATTTAATCCCCACAAGAAATTAAAGCCTAAAATTTGCTCATGACTGGGGTGGTGTAAACGACATCCCAGTAGTCCTTCAAGAAAAAGCTTGAAGGAATCCAGATAGCGTTTCTATGTGATTTATTAATATTTCTCTTTTGCTAGAGAAAAAAACTTAGGTCCAGTATTTAGTAATAAGGATTGTAGGTCGGTGGAACTATGTTGAACGTGATAGTTTTCTTCCAGTGAGTATGCATCTGCTCCTAGAAAGTGTTCAATGATTGATCTGCTACCAACTGTTCCTGTGAGGCGCTCTATTCACCCACTGCTTGATGAGAAAAACGGAGTCTAACTCTTAGGTCATGCAGCTGCAATTTTTGATCCTTGTTACTGTGGCCCGGGACTTGATTAGCTGGGAGGAAGCAAAAAGATAAAACACAGCGACACACAAATCGTTCAGGATATGGAATATCAAAATAAGGTCACCTCACGTTCTGCGATAAGATACAGGGGATAAATTTGGGTGTTTTAAGCACTCAGTGTAAAAGAGTTTCGAAAGAACCATCACCATCTTTGTTCGCACAGGCTTGACCTGGTAGCATCTTTGGTTATGCACGGACCAGCTGATTGGATGTTATATTCTAGATGAGGTCTCACATTGGTCGGGTAAAATGCCCGGAAAATATCCACCATCAGAGCATTTTAGGGCTTGAAGAAATGGCCACAACGCTCGAAAACCTTTTTTGCTGTTGCTGTATGACAACATACGGTTGATTTCAAGTCATGAATTACTGTCTGTTTTTCCGTGCCGTGTACCGATATACGGCTGAAAGTATACTGCTAGATATGTCGCGTCCAACAGGCATTAGCACACCCCTTCTGTTATTTATTTATAGGCCCGAACTTTTTGATCATTCGGATACTTCATCTGGGCCGACTTGTAGATTAAAGCCATCAGCCTGACCACTTATTGTTCTGCAGATTTGGACATCCTTACCAAACAACAGTGCCGACGACTTAAAAATTCTTGGTAATTTACTGACGTAGTGAAATCGGCGATCAACTTCAACTGGAAACGGAAGCCTGTTAAGTGACA